GGGTCAGAGCCAATCTAATCTTGGGAGGTATGGTGCTCCAGAAGGCAGACACTGCAACAGAAAAGGCTCAGTTCCGAGGTCTCGTTGGATGACATTCTTTAACTGAGGGGACCCAGAGCATGCCCCTCCGTCAGACCTGATGGGATGGGTAGAAACAACTGGGAAGAGGCAGTCCTGCAAACAACCCAGCCTAATGCCACAAAGGGCTACATAGGAGACAACCAGCACCTTGAATTCCACCCAGAGCCACTGCAGCTTGAGCACAAGTGTAACATGGGTCTACTGAGGTGCACACATAACTGCCCACGCTTCTGCAGTCCAGACCAGTTGTAGCTTCCAGGTAGTCTTCAAGGGCCATCTGACGTAAAGTGCTTTGCAGTAATTCACTTGGGAGGTGACTAAGATGTGAGCGACTCTGAGCAGTGCCTCCCAGTCCAGGAAGGGGCACAGTTGGTACACAGAAGAAAGTTATGCAAAACCCACCTGGATATGGCTGCAACCTACTCTTCAGATAGGAACTGTGAGTCAAAGAGGACCCCTAGATTGTGCATTGGTTCTACTTAGGGTAATGCAACTCCACCTAGAATCAAAGATGGAAAGACACTAAAGTGTTTAGAGAATCAAGGAGACTTTGAGAGAAATAGGACAAGGACTGCTATATAAGCAAAAAGGGATGTAACATTATTTCAGTACTGGAAAACAAAACAGTATTTAGAAGCAACTCAGGCAGGCTCCTCCCTGATTCATTGGGAGGGGCCCAGTGAAGGGGGCCCAGAGGGAGGGGAGGTAAAACACAACCAGACTTGCAAGATTCAGTTATTATAGTGTATCTCAAGTATAGTTCTCATCTTCATGTGGAGTCTGTTTCCTGATCTGGTCTGGATCCAAGGAGCCCTAAGACTCACAGCCACTCAGGGGTTGCCAGGGTCGAGCTGAATCCTGTTCTTCCCCATCCAGACCCCCACAGTCTCCAGACTCTGAGATAGAACCACCACGGGGTCAGTTGGTAAGCCCAGGGCAGAGATATAGAGCTGGGTATCATTAGCATACTGTTGATGCCTCACTCTGTGCTATCAAATGACTTCATCCAGCAGCTTCATGTAGATATTAAATAGGAATGGAGGGAGTACCAAGCCCTGAGGGACCCTGCAGAGAAAGAGCCGTGGACTAGATCTCTCTCCACTGACTGGAAACAACCTTGGAGGAAGGAGGAGGACCAGCACAGAACTGTGCCTTCCACTCCTAATCCCTGGAGTGGTATCCAGAAGGATACCATGATCGAAGGTATCTATGAAACTGCAACACAACCACCTTCTCAACAACCTTCCCTAAGAAGGGAAGATTGGAGATGAGATGAAAGTTATCCAAAACAGGTCAGATTCAGCAATGGCTTCCTGATGAGGGGTTAAACCATTACCTCTTAATCAGGGGTGGAACCATCCCCTCTTTCAAGAAGGGATTCACCATTGCCAGGATCCAGCCACACATCATCTGGGAAACCTTAGCTAACCAGGTAGCCAAGCTAACAGTTCCATTTAGGCAGATGTATTTTCTGCCAGTCAAATTCTGGGCACAACTGTGATTATTCTTGTCTCTAAAGCCTTTACTTATCAGGACTGGCTTTTATTAGATATGCCTCCCAAACTCTTGGTCTTTCATTGAAGATTTTAAGTAAGTAACTAAATACTAAGCACAAGATTCTATCTGAGGGACTGCCTCTCCCTGATTTCATCTGCCTGTCCCACCATATCCAGCAGAGAGGGCATATTATGGGTTCCATCGCCTAGGGAGATACATTTGGCAGGCCCCAGGCGGTGGGCCTTTTTTGCTGTGGCACCTGCACTGTGGAATCTTCTCCCCCCTGAGGTGAGGTTGGCCTCGTCATTGTTGAACTTCCAGAGGTCCCTTAAGACTTGGTTATGCCAGTAGGCCTGGGGACCCCAGGGAATGGGGGAATTAGTGAGGTGGCACCCTTATTTTTAACTTCCTTTTAT